TATATATATTGATTAAATGATCAATGATTCAATTACATCAAGACTAAAGAAAAGAGTTGATCTAAATTGTCATCACATGCCTGATGTGGTTCAGTTTCATATACCAATTTAACACAATCCTTTATGTTAGATGGGTATATGACATGAGATCACATCATATCGATCAAAAATGTGTGAACTGAATTGAATCGGAATCGTATCATGACAGACTTCGTGATATCGAAAAATATCATATCGTCATCCAAACAAATCAATATATTGTATCGTGATAAATCTGGTGATTTACACCCTTAACTTTCAGGTCAAAAACTGTATAAATGATCAATTTTTAGCCATGTTTGCATAGTTTATAGTTAGTTATCAGTGCCAGACATTTATATTTTGTTTGCCTCCAAACCTTAAATTTACATCTAATAGTTATTTTATGAATGTTTAATTAAAATCCATCCACTGGTTTTTGAAATATTTTAATAATGCCACAAACAAACAGTCACACAGATGCAGGCAAAATTATTATCACCCTCAGCAGCAGGTGATATATAAAAAAAAAAAAACCAAGCAAAGCTGTGTTGCTGCAGCTGTGGCAGGCTCTCCTCTGCTGTACTTGCAGATAAAACATGCCTTCTAGTGTTGGAAACGTGGAACGACACTGAAAATCAGACCATTTTTCCTGAAGAGGACAGACACTGTTTGGCCTTTAAAATTACTTTCATTACTTTAATGAATGTAAATAAAAGACTTTGTTAATTAGGTAATTAGGTTTTAATGTTGCCTATAAGTTGCCTCTGTAATTTAAACAACCTCAATTAAGCTTATTTATTTTATGCTGTCAAATGAAATGGTTCGTAACTACACATTGCACTTCTTTAACAGCTTGAACTTTTTAAAATTTTCTAAAACTAATAATTTCTAGAACTCATTTGTGCCACTTTGATCAGATTCTTAAAAGAGCTGTATTTTGCATTAGATTCAAGCTGATGCAAAAACAATCTTCCTACCTAAGATCTACATGGTAATTAGCAGATACAATCTGCAGCAGCTCATTTTGCACTTGAACATTTGTAGGAGTAAAAAAAAGAGCAACAAAGTAAAACCTTAAAGGTCACATGTTGTTTGTTTTTGCAGCCCCAGCTGTTCTTAAATGAGATGCTCGTGGCTGTTTTTGGAGTGAATAATGGAACTAGCATTTTAAATATCGAGACTGCTCACATTTGTTTGCTGTATCTCTGTAAAAGGGCAGCCACTCCGGGGCAGCCTCCAGCGTTCATCACCGAACCAGCTCAGCCATCTGAAAACACAACATCTGACTTTGTGGCACATGAATGTCCCGATGTGTAACAAATGTCTTCCGTGCAGAGATTCTCCGATGTACAGCATGAAATTTAAAGCGTACCTTGGCATGGAGTTGTTCAGATGGATTTAAGCTCTTTGATACTTTAATCAAAATGGGTTTAGGCAGCTGACTCTGTAACGTGTCTTAAAATTTTAAGCATACATGAAGGTTTTAATTATTCAGCGGAGCTCTGGAGTAGTTTTTAGGAGAAGGAGCTGTCACAGCTGGCCTGTGCAGCCGGGCAGGAGAATATTAGCTCCTCTAAATGCAGCTCTCCTGGTTTCCTGCAGGTCGAATGAAGTCACAGCAGATTTCTGATCCTTAATCATCTTCTCTGCTTGCAGAAAATCCACCGAGCTCTTAACACTGCGTATGAGGATGTTGGGAAGGAGCTGACCGGCCTCGACCAGAAGTAATGAGCTCACTGACACTTTGTTCCACCTTGGATTTCTGTCCATTTCCACTAGTTCTGAAAATATAAAACAACTTTAATGTATCAAGAATTTGCTGGAATGAAAGCCTTCTTTTTTTGTGTGCGAGCATACATTTACAGTTTGTACATTCATTAAAACGAGTGTATATCGGCATTGTGGAAACATTTTATTCATCTACATATAGAGTAGAGAGAGTAAAGACAGCAGCAGAATGAGGAAACGTCAGTTTGTCCTCCACCTTTTAGCAGCATAACTAAGGAATAACTCAGGAAACCCAAGCCAATCATAGGATTTATCAAAAAGGAAAGTCTTCAGTGTAGACAGAGTGTCAGCCTCACGGACACAAACGGGATGTTGGTTCCACAAGAGTGGAGCTTGATAACTGAAAGCTCTGCCTCCTATTCTACTTTTAGAAACTCTAGGAACCACAAGTAAACCTGCAGTCTGAGAGTGAAGTGCTCTGTTAGGAAAGTGTGGAACAATAAGATGTTTAATATATGTGACCCATCATATCGAAATGAAGATTAAGTCAAATTTGGTCAAAATGACCTCATTACATTTACAGACTTTTGGTTTTAAAAGCTACATGTTGATACTTGGATCATTCTGATATCATAATTAAATCCATATACAAAATATGACTTAATTTGTCTTGTTGGTTACAATAATGCATAAATATTTGGTCTGAATCCTAATTTTATGTCCTTATAAAGAGGAAACCTCAAATTATATTTGAATATTAAGATTTCCCAGCTAAAAAGAAACAAAACTTTGCTAACTCACAGAGAAAATCTCTAAATTTTAAGGCGTTTTTCCTCAAAATCAGTTTTTTTGTTGCTACTGCTCAAAAAAGTGCTTCACAATTTTTGTTTTATGATTATATTTCAGGCAGTTCATTCAAATGATACATTGATAAGGCTTTTATTCATTATATTTTGACAAAATGCAATTTTTGTTAACATTTTAGTTAAAACACTATATTTGCCTATTTCTCCTTATACCACTTTTGGACTTAATCCTCGTTTCGATGTGATGGGTCACATATGCTGTAGCCTGGTTGTTAAGGGCTTTGTATGTTAGGAGTAATATTTTAAATTATATTCTGAATTTGACAGGGAGCCAGTGGAGAGAAGCTAAAACTGGAGAAATATGATCTCTCCTTTTGAACACCCAGATAATAAAGAATGACAGTAATCCAGTCTAGACGTGATAAATGCATGAATCAGTTTTCCGCGTCATTTTTGGACAAGATGTTTCTAATTTTAGTGAAATCACGCAGGTGGAAGAAGGCAGTCCTGGTAACATTTTTAATGTGGGGGTTAAAAGACATGTCCTGATCAAAAATAACACCAAGGTTGTTTACATTAGAACTGGAGGCCAGATTAATGCCATCCAGAGGAGGGGAAAGGCTACAAAGTTGATCCCTAAGATGTTCGGGTCCAAGAACCATAACCTCTGTCTTATCTGAGTTTAGAAGCAGAAAGTTAAGAGTCATCCATGTTTTTATGTCTGTAAGACATGCGTGTAGTTTAAGTAACTAATTAGATTCATCAGGTTTATGGAGAAATATAACTGAGTATCATTGCATGACAATGGAAATTTATTCCATGTTGTTTAATAACTTTAATGGAAGCATATATAAAGTAAAGAGGATTGGTCCAAGCACTGAACCCTGAGGAACTCCACGACTAACTCTGGTGTAAGAAAAAGATTCATTATTAACATTAACAAACTGGAATCTATCAATTAAATTAGACTTAACCATTTTAAGGCTGTTCCTTAAAGACTCTGTAATAGAATATTTTTGATCAATTGTATCAAATGCAGCACTGAGATCTAATAAGACAACTATGGACACAAGTCCACTGTCTGAGGCCATGAGAATATCATTTGTAACTTCCACCAGCTCTAAACCCTGACTAAAACTTTTCAAACTAATGATTTCTGTCCAGATGTTCACACATCTGCATTTGCAACTACTTTCTGAAGAATTTCTGAGATGAACTGGAGATTAGATATAGGTCTACAGAACTCCTGAATTAAATTAAGTTTTCGTAAGTAAAGTTTTAGGTACAGTAACCTTAAAGCTCTGTGGTACAATTTTACACAATGGCCCAACTTTGTTAGAGCTTGGGTTCTACAAAACTAAATCTTATTTTTCCAGTAATCTTTCAGCAAGAAAGCAAATAAAGAAATTTTTATCATAAAATACTTGATTAAAATCAGTTATACACTAAAAGGTAAAAGTGTTCTCATTGCTTTCATCAGTTTGTTTAGTTAACACAGTACCTTTTATTTCTCTTTTTTGGCAGTCATGAAGAATTTAAGCAACTGGTTATTAATTATCTCACAGACAACTTTAAGTCAGAAATCCACTCACTGTGTTATAATTATATAAATCAATTATTTTAAAAACCATAACAGTGATGTTTGGAAAGAAAACCCATTAAAGATGTTCTGTGTGACGCAATGCCATATTTGTGCCATCAGATAAAAAATGAATTTATTTGAAGCCTTTTCTATTAACGTGATTTATGTTGCTTAGACTATAATTGATAAGATTTATCTGCCTGAGACAAGAACAGCTTCATTTTTTCATTTATTTCCCTGTATAAGACAGTGTCATCCTGATGTTATACTGGATATCTCACTGAAGACATGTCCTCTGTCCTTCCCTCAGCCCGTCCTCGTGTATTTCAGAGAACTGCACCCTGCACAGGAAACAGCATCAGCCCCCTCCACCGTCTCCTCCCACATCCCTCCCTGCTTCCATCACAGCTGGAGACACCAGCAACTCCTCGCCATCGCAAGAACACAAGGAGAAACGCGTTCACTTTGACCTGGAGACGCTTCACAGCTACCGCCTGCGCACACACACCGCCTCGGTGCGCGGCCGGCCTGGAATGGTGGGCCGCCCCGGGCTCGGCCTCGGGGGGTTAGGATTGGGCAACCTGGAGGGTTTTGCCGCTCCCCCTCAGGTCAGCCTCCACGTCAATGGGGGCCCAGTCTCGACCCTGGCGTCCACAGGTTTGGTGCTCTCTCCCCTGGGGAACAGGGCTGCTCAGACCAGCCTGTGGGAGGGGGAGCTCCAAGAGCTGCAGGTGAAGATCGAAACGTTCCGCAACCAGCTGAGGGATGCTCTGGCCAGGAGAGCTGAGATCCAGAGCAGCCTGGAGAGAGAGAGGAGCGGGCTAGTCCGCAGAGACACCAGTCTGGAGAGGGACCGAGACAAACAGAGGATACAAACTATTAACACAGACAGAAGTAGCTCCGCTCAGTCCAAACTCCCTGAAAGAGACCGGACGAGCCTGCTGCAAACCCTGAACAATCAGCAGACTGGGAGAGCGAACCCATCAGGCGGGCCTGGGACCGCGGGGCAGGGGAGGAGCAGTCAGCTGAACACAGTGAACAGTTTAGACAGAGGAAGAGTCAATCAATCACGGCCTCTTGTTGCTTTGACCGGAGACAGGACTGTCCAGTCACACGCCTCTGCCAGTTTGGAGCGAAGTCAAGTCAACCAGCAAAGTCCAGGAAACATCACGGTCCAAACGAGGAACACGTCTAGCTTGGACAGACAGAAGGCTAGCCTAGCACGCACTCTGAACACTTTGGACAGGACAAAAGCCAATCAGCCAAGTGTAAGCAGTGGGACCTGATTAGCTGTCTGAACCTACTGTTTACAGCAGGGGGATCCAGGCCCGGTCCTCCAGGGCCATTGTCCGGCATGTTTTACTTGTTTCTCTGCTCCAACACACCCGATTCAGTAACTGAATTACCTCTTCAAGTACTGCAGAAGTCTGTTAATCACCCATTCATTCAAATCAGGTGTGTTTGAGCAGAGAAACCTTTACAACATGAAGGACAGTGGCCCTGGAGGACCAGGATTGGACACCCCTGGTGTTAGGAGCAGTCAGTCAGGGGTTCCTTACATAGCCGTGGGAAGGCCAGGTTGGGTTTTTGGTTTAAGTTGGTGGGGATAGATGACAGAAGGGAATGTGTTTATTTACATGTTCTTGTACAACAGCCTAATTTTTGTAGTCAGAACATTTTAATTCTCACCTTAAAGGCACAGTGTGTAGGATTTGTTGTTTTCAGCGACATCTAGTGGTTGAGTGGTTGAATCATCCTCCCTGGTCCTCCCCCCACCCCCACCCCCCGCTTCCAAACACAAAGGAGTTGCTACGGTGTCTCTCAGGTGTCAAAAACCTTTGATAATTCCAACCGCGATGTCTACCAGCAGCTTCAGGGCTAGTGATGTTTCAAGTGGTAAGATTATGAGCTTTAATAAGTAAAATTATCCCAGCTACAATGACAGACAACAAATATTACATTTATAGTATTACAACTAAAGCCGTTTTTGACGCCGCCACCGCAGTTTGTTTTTCATGAGCCTTCGTAGACAAGATGGCGGTGCAAGATGGCGGCTGCCTGTAGTGGCGACCTGCGACCATGGAGATGTAAACAGCTTTTATAAGGTAAAAATAATAAAAYAAGGTCTTTGTCTGCAATGATTAGACATATTTTTTATTATTGTCATTAGTGATTATCTCAATTTCGGCTAAAAGACCTGACAAAATCCTACACACTGTGCCTTTAAGTTGCAGCTAGAAAAATGTTTTGTATCTAAAATATCCTTTAATAACTAATATTTCAATGTATGTTGGTGAAAAACAAAAACGAAGTGTCCATCCAAAGCTTACACAAATAAAACTTGTTAATACTACAATTAATAGGCATCCTGTAAAAGCCTACAGTTAGCTTAACAAAAACTAAAAAATAAAGACAGCTTTTTATCAAGCGTTGCATACTGCCCGCTGCTTGTTCTAAAATCACGTTGTGAAGAGAAATGATGGAAATGTAGCCAACCAGTCAGCCAGGCATCCATCCTTTTTACCTGTCTTTTTCTTTCTGAGATGCAGGGAGTTGGTACATATGGTGTGTTCCATCTGTCCTCAGCGGTCGGTGTTTCGGACTTCCAAGTTGGAAAAATAAACTGGAATGACCCCTAATGTCATAATTTCAAGTTAGGAAGTCGGTGCAACATGACTGTACCCAAGCAGCCCGAACACGCGTGACGTCATCGTTTCAAAATGGCTGCTCCTCGCATCAACAGAGTAATGGTTTTTACTTTTACCAAAAAGAAAAAAATCAGTAGGTCCTCTGGATGGGTTCTTCTTTAGTGAAACGTTTCGTCTCTCCTCCAAGAGACTTCTTCAGTCTGATGAGTTTCAGGTGAACTCAGCCTTATAAGTCCTGCCTCCACCTGGACAAACAGGTCAGTCACATGCAAAAGAGGGCCATCGCCTAACAATAGGCTTGATTTGCTCTATTTAGTCACATGCTAAATGAACAATAGAGCTAACCTGTGACCTGTTTGTCCATGTGGAGGCAGTGCTTATAAGGCTGAGTTCACCTGAAACTCATCAGACTGAAGAAGTCTCTTGGACAAGAGACGAAATTTCACTAAAGAAGAACCCATCCAGAGGACCTACTTATTTTCTTTTTTTGATTTTTTTCTACCTGGATTACTGAGATGCATCAGGACATCTTTACGTTTACAGTTTTTAGCAGTTCTGTGTTGTTTAATTTATATTAAGTCAGTCATACTTTAAGTCATACTTTATTGCGATTATTAGAGTTTTAACCCAGTTTGTACACTCAAAATGCCACATAGAGTTATTGTTGTGTTATTGTTGCAGAGCGACAATTAAAAACTTTTTTTTCTGGCATTCTGACAAGTTGGAAACTGAAACTCTTACACTTTGGAACCGACATCAGTCTGACTTTAGAACTTCAAGTTCTGCTGCAACTGGAATGCAGCGATATCTCCAGTGTGTGAAAGGTGAGGAACACCCTGAACAAGTCAGAAGCTGATCACTAGAGGCCTTTTTGCACTGCAAGGCCCGGCCTGTGCCAGGCTGCGTTCAAACCCAGGTTAAGTGTGTTTGCGTTATCCCTTTTAGTTTGATTCCACACCAATTTCTGGAACCCCTGAACCTGTGGTTCTACCCAGGCCAGATCCGATTTGATGTCAGCTACTGTTGCCCTCTGATAGGTTCACTTACCAGGGGAGTTACGTCATACAAATGAGATTAACTTAAATTGTTTTCAATGACTGTAACTTCTTGTCACAAAAGTTTAACTACTGTATATAACAACTGCTACCAAACAACAACAAGCTAACATTAGCTACTATCAGCTTACTTAGCTGTAGCTTATTTTCGTCTTCTTTGTCACTGCTGGATGGTTCGGTACAGGTTTTGGTACTTTTCTTTTGAGCTTGGTGTAGTTTATTGTAGTGTCACAAATAAAATAAAATAAGATTTGCACTTTTTTTTAATTTATGCTCCTCGCCTACATTGTCGCCTACTCTCTGCTCAATGCAAACACAACCAGGACTGGCCAAGGCCAGGCAGACTGGGGTCAAACCAGGCCAGGCTGGACCTTGCTGTGAGAAAAGGCCTAAGGGGAGTTGTATTAATAAAACCTTGAAAATAACATTATGATCAACTATTARTCATCATGAAATGTCACACTCAGAGAGTGGTGATTGACTTTCTACAATGTTTAGCTCAATTTCTGTAAACCTGAGTTATAGCCATATTTGTGTCTCAGTTAGCAGTGGCGGCCATCTTGAACTGGACTGACTCCAAAAGTTAATTAGTTGTTGACGTACATCAAGCAATTACTTTCTGAGAAGTTCATATAAATCTGTCTATCTCACTACATATTTTGCTGACAGAATAACAGGGTTGACAACAACACTTTACAATAAAATAAAAAATGCGCAATGAGTAGCACTCGTGTCGGGAATGATTCTCCAATTTTAGCAATCTTTAAAACCATCGGAATTAAAGCCAATTTAATGTTTTCTGAGAACAGTTGGCGGTGCAGATGAAAGGTGATCAGTTCTAGATGTACATCCACTGATTATTTTCTGCTAATTTCACAGTCAGAAACATGGACACACACACACACACAAACACACACACACACACACACACACACACACACACACACAAACACACACACACACACACACACACAC